CGTACACACACAGACACACACTCGTACACACACAGACACACACACACACACACACTAAAATGTCGATGGGGGAGTAAAAAAACAAACCAAACCTTTTTTTTTTTAGTGTTGATATTTTCAAATACAAGTCCTGTCAAATTCAAAGAAACGTTTTCTAATGGGAGTTTGAATCGAGCAGAAATAGTTATTTACTTATTATTGTAGAACTTGACACTAAGTCCACCCTAGTCATTAAAAAAATTATTATAAAGAGTACCTTTGAAAACAGCACACGACTGTCTGTAGGGCAATTTATGATTCTACATTCTAAATAAAATGGCCATTGAGGTAAAATAAGCTCTGCATTGTGAGATGAAGACCTTACAGTCAGTTACTGTCCCCGCTCAGCAGTTGTCACAAAGAAGAAGACCTGAAAATCTGTTGTCTTTGTGTGTTTTGCTGTGTGCGTGTTACACTGTGCGCGTGCTAGACTGTATTTGGAATTTTTCTTTTTTCCTATGAACAGGGAAGTGGTGAAGAGGGCTCCGGGGTGAAGGGTCAACACCGTAAGAGCGGGCTGATCGTGACCCACCAGACCCAGAACCCAGACTACAAGATAGCGGAGGACGAGCAGGAGGAGCCGTCAACCTCCCCGGAGAACTGCCCTGAGAGCACCACGGCCACCCACACGCATGGAGCTGTGCTCACCGCAGACCTGGAGCAGAAGTCGTGGAAGTCCACCACGGCCAAGGAGACGGTGCCCATCAACATTGGGGAGCTGCAGGAGAAGCTCAAGTCCATCTACCCGCAGAAAGGTTCGGCGGTGGGCCCCCCTGTGTCAGCAACGGTCCCCTCCAACCACCCCCCTCCTCAGTCAGCGGGCGTGATGGACCCAGGGCCCTCTAACAAGGTGTCGGAGCCCGCCGGCCAGATGGCCCCGCCCCCCGTGGTGGCCCCACAAAGTCAGGTTCAGGCGGCGGCTGCTCCAGCAGGGGGCGCTGTTTACCAGACGCAAGGGCCGCCTCCGAGCCAGCAGCCTCTGCCCACCCAGGCCTCGTACCCTACCCAGGTGGCCGCCCCTGCCCAACAGCCGGCGCCTCAAGCCATGCACACACAGCCACAGCCACAGCCGGCGCAGGACATGTCGGTGGGGCCTGACGGGACACAGGTGTCACCCAGGAATCTCCAGCAAAGCCAGCAAGCCGGTCAGCCTTCTTCCCAGCCCATGTCCAGCCAACAACAACAACACGCCCCCAACCAGCAACAACAACAACACGCCCCCAGCCAGCAATACTCCAACCTTACCCAGCCCCACATCCTCCCCAAAGAGCAGGCAATGGGAGACGGAGGAGGAGGAGCCCCCACCCACCACCCCCCCGGTCAGTCCCTCCCGCCCACCGCCAGCGTCCCTCTGGATCAGATGGCGGCCAAATCGGCGGGCTCTACTAGCTACTCTGGTAACCCAGCAACAGCTGCGGGCTCTGCTCCCCCCCACATGGGTTACGGCATGCACTACAGCCCGGCACAGATGCAGCAGATGTTTGCCATGATGCAGCACATGATGCACATGCCCACCTTCGGCTTCCACCAGCCCAACTACTACGCACACACGTCACCCTACATGCAGGCCATGATGATGTCGCACCTCATGCACCAGATGCAGCAGCAGCAGCAGCACAGCGCCGGCGGCCAGCAACACCCGCAACACGCCCCTGTACACATGACCATGCCGTTTGGCGCGCAGTACCCTCCGGGCTGGAACTACCCCTCCTCCGTCGGTCTTCCTCCCCCGTCTTCGACCTCTGCGGCTACAGCAGAGAGCCACCCCGCCAACCCCAGCACCTCTTCCTCCTCCTCCCCGCCCAGATCCCCAACCTCCAGCAGACGGAGCCTGGCCCAGGAAGTGCCCGCCCAGTCCCCGTACGCCTCCATTGAGAACCTGACCTCCGTGGGTCGCGTCATGCCAAAAGCAGACATTAACTACTTAGAGCAAGCCCTAGCTAAGACCATGGGCCGGTTGAATGCTAGTCACCCCTACCAACAACACAGCAACCCCTCGGCCAGTAGTAGCGGAACCACCCTGCACGACAACAACACGCTGCCAGACCCAGCTAGACCCGCTGAGCACCTCGCCCCGCCCCCTGTGGAAGTGAAAGAGATAAAGAGCGAGGAGGAGAAGCCTGCGCCAGTGCCTGCAGATGTGAAGCCACCCACCGACCCCCCAGCACCTCCACCCGCACCCACCGAGACGCAGTCAGAGCCCGACCTGTCGGCCCCCAAAGTGAAAGCTTTCTCTCGGTTCAAGGTGGAGGCGGTGAAGGACGACCCCTACCTCAGCGCCAAGCCGGAAGAGCCGGCGTCGGTGGAGGGGGTTAGTGCCCCTGCCCACAAAGCTGATGACTCGGTGGTGGCGCCCCCGGCAGCCGTGGAGGGAGTCAAGCCGCAACAGCAAAAGTCTGAGAAACGCGGCCGCTTCCAAGTAACAAAGATCCCCAGTGAGCCGGCGGAAGCGAGACCAACAGCAGAGACAGCAACGCCAGCATCCGCTACAGAGGAAGCTGCAGACAGCCGCCACACATCCGCCCCCGCTCCTCCTGTACCTACTAACCCTAGTGTGTCAGAAGAGGCCGGTGCTAAGCATGCGGGGCCTGACACTGCTTGCAATACTATAACAACCCCTAACCCAGCCACTGTTGTTGCAGGTGGTGGTGGTGGTGCTGGTGGTGGGACTATTGAGGAGCCACTGCCTAAGCTCGCTAGTGTAAGTAAATTCATATTGCAGATAAATGATCAAACTGTGGGGGGAAATGCTAGAGGGAAACGTGGCAGCATGCGGGAGGTGAGTCCTGTGTTCTCCGATAGACATCAGCGCTGTGCCAGTCCGGCTGAGCTGCTGCCCAGGAGGGCTAGGTCTGTGTCCTTGGGTCACCTTCATAACTACCCAGGCAAGCACCTGGCGGATAGCTCTAACAACTATCATTCTCTGCACTCTGGTGATGGCTTGTATCCCCCTAAGTATAACCACCGTACCTATAATCCTACTATGTATCCTAATTTTCATAATCCTATTTATAATAATTACAATAATACTGGTGCCCCCTACAACATGATACACGGAGTGCCTGATGGTTATCAGAAATGTATGTCGTATAACAAGCATAGCGCGCTACATGGGGCGTGTGATTGCCAGCAGTGTGCTGTGGACAGCTACACACAAACCTCCCCCAGCCTTTGGCATGGGCCCCCGCCCCTGTTGGCTGTTCACGCAGACACACATGTAAGTTTTTCCCTATACGCAGACACACGCACATATAGTGTAGCAGGTGTGTGCTGGTACGTACAGAGTGGCATGTGTGGGCTCTTGTATTGACCCAACTTGTAGCCTTTTCCCTGACCAGGTGGGAGGACTGGTGTGGTATGTAACCTATGTACCTTGCTGTGGGGGAAGAGAGAGGAAAACATCTCTTCAGCTGTCTTGTTACTTGTGTTTTGTGTTGTCTGTTATCACAGAAAGATTTACGGTCACTCACAAAAAATTTTGTGGCTCAGAGTATATTTCTCCATTGTGAGAATTGGTTTGGGCCCACAAATTTTGTCAATGTATTGTGATGGGCCTTAGACGGAATCTTGCACAAAAGTATGTTTTACTTGAGCCCACTATTACACTGTCTGAGTTGGCGACAAAACATCCTTTGTTTTGCTAGGTTCTCTGTCTCAAGCGCTGCTCCGTTGAACCTCACCTAAGTGTTAGCAAGGTTAGAACAAGTGGCTTCGAATGGCTGGAGGGCGCCACTATCGATAGGTCCATTTTCTTTTCCCTCCCTCGGTTGTTTCTGTGTTGCTTTTAATGTACACTAAAATGGCTGTGGTTGTTTGGATGTGTTTGTGAGTGAGAAGTTTGATGAGACAAAGTCCCCAATAGGTCCCAGGAGAAATGCTTGATTGTTGACACTGTTGCTGCATTTTGTCGGTGCACAGTACTTGTGTGTGTGTGCGCATGTGCCAGCGCCTCCAGAGTATGACATTGGGCGATTGGTGGGTGCTCAGTTTTGGTTTGCTCTTTTCTTGTCAAACATCTATCGTCCTTGTCTCTTCTCCTTCTTTTCTTTGTTACTCTCTTGACTTATTGTTGTTGAAAGTGCCGTAAAACTGTAATTAAAACTAAACTAATGTCTATGCTCCATGTTATCTCCAGGTTGAGGTGGGAGGAAAACGGCCAGACAGCCCTGAGAAGATCAGCCCACAGAAAGTGAAAGATGAGTTGCTTGCCCTGCAGGTGGATACTGGATACCAGGCCTTGCTCGACAGGTGAGGAGGGCTCTTTTTGTTTGGCTCAAAACTGTCAGAAGAGGAACTTTTTGAGGGTGGTTGGCAAGAGCTCTGGTGTGGTCTGCTTCTTCATTCCTATCAAACATCTATCGTCCTCATCTCCCCTTCTTTTTTATGTTTGTTACTCTCTTGTAACACCTCTAATCTTCTGGCGCTCTTATGACCGTATACAGTTGCGAGCGCCGTAAAACCTCTACTAAAACTAAACTAAAGAATATCTTTTTTAATCTTTGTCTTGGAGAACCTCCAATCACCTCCCTTATTTGTTATTTTTAAAAATTCTTATCTTTACGTATTATGTAACCTGTTTGTGTTGCTGTAAAACTCTAACTAAAACTTAAAATCCATCTCTGCCAATGATGGTAAAATTGGCCTTGATTGAAATTCTGAGTTTGTGGTTGAAGTTTTTTCCGGTCTGTCCTGGCTCATTTTTACCTCTACCGGGGACTATATGTGTGGGGGGGGGGGGGGGG